AGTTAATTTCAAAACCAGAATATTGTAGTACGTTTATATTGTACTGGATTTCGTTAAGCCAGTGGTTTTAAATATTTTGAATGTATGCCAAAAATAAATCCTCATAAAGTAGGTTAAATCAACAAAATTTAAATGCCGCTTTTGGGTCATTGAAGACCAACCGAAACTAACAGGATTTTTTTTTTTGAATTCAGCTAAAAAATTTTAGGGTCATTGAAGACCAACCGAAACTAACAGATTTTTTTTTTTAGAATTCAGCTAAAAATTCCAGAGATATGGGAAGTTGTAGTTGTACACGTTACAGAAGTATTTGAATCGAAGTGAAACAATTCAAAAAGTGTCTAATTTTTTACTTCATTTTTTAAGAGCTGAAATATTTTTTTGTGTGGAGAAATTCTAAAGAATCGAATATAATTTTTAGCTTGGAGATCATCTATTATTTTTGGGAGCTCTAACATCATCCGATATTTTGAGGAATATATAATTCTCCTTTATCCGATATTTTGAGGAATATATAATTCTCCTTTATTTATCTACATTTTGTGACAGCTACCAACTACATTTGTTTTTCCATATTTTTTTCAATCCTCAGACATTTGATGAGTCTCTTTTGGGATTTATTTCAATTCTCATTCTTTTAATATTTAATTTTTTTTCTTTTTTTATATTAAAAAAAATAAATAAATTCCACATCTCAATTTATTTGGATATTAATTGTTTTTTTTTTTTTTGCATATTTTATTTTTATTTTTTTTTGTTTGTTTTTTTTTTTTTTATTTGTTTGTTTTATTTGCATTAAAATTAAACTTAAAAACTATGAAAAAATAATAATAATATATATACTATAGTATGTATATGTGTAATAATAATAGTGGTGTTTTATTTTTTATTTTTACAAACTAATCAATAAAAATTAATAGATTATAACGACAAAAAAATCAATCAAGGATCTTATATATATAGAAGGGGAGGGGGTGGGTGGAAAATAAAAATGGTAAAATAAGAAATAATGAAATAAAAAATTAATCATAATAATAAAAAAATGGTAAAAACAATTTAAATAAAATAAAAAAATTGTGTGTTGGGTGTTTTTGTTTTTTGTTATTTTTTATACAAGAGAAGAGTCTTTGAAGAAAATCTTACAACAGATTTGTTTATTTACGTTGGTGGTGTGGTGTTTTGAGGTTGGAGTTGTTTGTTTAAAAAAAAATTCAAGGTAACGAAAGTTTGAAAAAAATTAAATAGTGTTGGTGGGGGTTGTAGTGTATAAAATGGCATAATAGAAGAAAAGGAAAAAATATTTTAATTAAAGTATATTACAAGAAAATAATAGAAAAAAGAAAAAATAATTAAAATATATTACAAGAAAATAATTGAAAAAATTAATAATAATTTTTATGGATTTTTTTGTAGTAGTTCCAGTTTCACAAACATTTGGATTTTTTTCTCTGAATTCTTATTCAGAGAATTTTTTCTTTAATTTTTTTTTTCTTTTAAAAAAAATTTTTTAGTTTTGTTTGTGGGCATGTTTCTTTCAAATTTATATAATTTTTTGAAATTTTGTATGGTTGTTGTTTTTTTACTTTTAAAGCATATTTTAAACAATATTTAAAATATTTACAGTTTTGAAAATTTCAAAAAAAAAAAAAATACAAAGAAAAATTTAGCAGTATTTTTTTATAAATAAAAAAAATTTACAAACAAATATAATTTTTTTAAATGAATTTTTTTTTTAAATTACAAAAAAATGACAAAGGAAAATTTTTAAGTTCCAAAAAATGACAAAGGAAAATTTTTAAATTAAAAAAAATATTTTTTTATATTTGAAATTTTTACAAATTTTCTTAAAATTGTTTTTTTAAATTATTTTTATTTTTGTTGTTGTTGTTTTTTTACAAAAAATTATTTTGTTGTTATTATTATCCGAGTGTTTAGTAGTGTTGATTGAAATCATTTTTTTATTTTTAATATTTTTTTTTCTTAAAATGTGTCTTTCCAAGATCACTAGTTTGCTACGTCTTCTTCTTCTTCTTTTCAAGATTTCTGTTTTGTATCCATTTGAGAATTGTTTTTGTTTCTTCTGGATTCCATTTGTTTTTGTAATTTTTGCAAAGTTTCATTATTTCATATCATTTATGGAAAGGGGGTTGTGGGTTTTGGTTTTCAATGCAATGCAAATTATCACAATATATATTTATATATTTTTTTTATATTTTTAATTTTTGTTGTTGTATTTTGTTTTTAATTTATTTATAATTTGTTTTGTTTCTGTTTTTATTTATAACATTTTTTTAATAATAAAAAAAAAGTATTTTTTCAAATAATAATAAAAAAATTTACAATATTTTTTGTTTTAGAATGCCAAATAATAATAATAATTAAAAAAATCTACTTTTTTATAAAAGTAGGAATTTGTTGGTTATTTTAGAAATTGAAAATAAAAAATAATTCTTACAAAAATTTTGGTTTTTTTAACATTTTGTTTTATACAAAAAAATAATAATGGTAACTTACAAATTATACACAACTTTTATATATGTAAAAAAAAATAATAAAAATTCTTAATATTTTTTTCAAGAAAATTTAAAAATTTTGTTCAATTTTTCTTTTTTGTTGTTGTGGCATTTTTTTGAAAATAAAAAAATACTTAAAATATTATAATGGGTTTTTAACAAAACAAGAAATCTTTTTTTTAATAACAAATTAGGTTAAAATATATATTTTTTAAATTATGTCTGTGGGGAGGGCGGGGGTGAAGGCGATTGGCGAGTGGTATTTTCTTGTAATATCTTTCAATAAAAAAAATTAAAATTAAAATTAATTTCTTAAAAAAAATGATTTCCCTTTTTTCGAGGAGGACGACTAACTATCAACAATGTAGCTAAACATTATGTGAGAAAGAGAGAGACAGATAGAGGTGTGACAAGTAAGAAGGGAGTGACTTAAAAAAATTAAAAATTATCTTTCCTTCATTTTTTCTTTGAAATTATTTCTTTCTTTTTTAATGGAGGGAGAGATAGAGAGAAAATGTGTGAGAACAAAAATCTCTTCAAAATTTCTTCATCTTCTTTTTTTCTTTGTTTTTGTAACTATATATATTATTCAATATTTTTTTTTTGTTTTTGTAATGTTTGTTTTCATATATATATAATTTATATCACAATACAAACTTAAAACAGTTAGTGATGATGCGGATCAGCTGACTGATCACAAATGTTGCAGCAACATGCAGAATGTTGCTGGCAAACATTGCCACATCATCGTGCCTACACAACATCTAGGCGCAACATGCTCTGTTCAAGCAATTTAGCAGCAATGTATTTTGTTGTTGTTGTTTTAAACGGGTAGCCTTGGCATAGCTCTAAGAGTTGCCAGTTAATTTTTTTTTGATTTAAATTCTTAACAATTTCAGAAAAAAATAACCACAAATTAATTGGAACTTAGAAGAAATTAATCAAAATCCAGCCTCAATTAAAAAATAATAATAAAAATGTGATGGTTGTACAATAAATAATTTAAAAAAATAATAATAATAATAAATTTCAGCTGGTATTTTGAATTTTTCTCATTTTTGGGAAATTAAAAAAAATATTTTTTTTTTAAATAAAAAAAAATTAAATTATGAAAATAAAAATTCCAGGGCAGAGGCAATTTGGAATTAAATTGTTGGCCTCAAGAAATGCCCAGGACAAATTTTTTAAAATAATTTTTAAAATGTTTATAAAAATAATTTAAAAAAAAATTAAAAATAATTTTTTAAAAACATTTTTTAAAGTATATAAAAAAAAACAAATTAAATATTTTTAAAAATAATTTTTTAATTTTTAAATATTTCAAAAAATTTTTTAAGAATTTTTTTTATATAATTTTTTAAAAAAATTTTTAATATTTTTTTTAATTTTTTAAAATTTAAAATCATTTAAAAAAATTGCATTTTTAATTTGTTAAATAATTTTTAAAATTTCAAAATTAATTCAATATAATTTTTATTTTTTTAAAATTTTTAAAAAAAATAATTTTTAATTTTTTTTAAAATTTTTTTAAAAAATATTTTTTTTAATTTCAAAAAATTATTTTCTAAATTTTTTAAAAATAAACATTTTTAAAAATTTCTTTTAAAAATTTTGAAATTTTTAAAAAATTATTTTTAATTTTTTCAAAATTATTTGTAATTTCTTTAAAAATTATTTTTAAATTCTTTAAAAATTAAATTTAAATTCTTTAAAAATTAAATTTATAATTTTTAAATTTTTTTTTAAATTTTTAAAAAATATTTTTCAAATTTTTTTTAAAAATTATTTTTAAATTTTTTAATATATTATTTTTTTTTTCATTAAAAATTTTTTAATTTTAAAAAATTATTTTTATTAAAAACTATTTTTAAATTTTTTAAAATTATTTTTAAATTCTTTAAAATTTTTTTTTAATTATTCTTTAAAAATTATTTGTAAATTCTTTAAAAATTATTTTTAAATTCTTTAAAAAATATTTTTAATTTTTTTTTAAAATTATTTTTACATTCCATAAAAATTATTTTTTTAAATTATTTTCAACAATATTTAAAAATTATTTTTTTTTAATTTAAAAAATGTCTCTAAAAATAATTTTTAAATTTTATCTTTCAAAAAAATATTTTTTATTTTAAAAAAATATTTTTCTTCAATTTCCCAAAATTTCCAATATTTTCTTGTTGTGGTATTTTTTCACTTTTTTCCTTTGTATTCTACTCGGTGTGTGAGTGTTTGTGTTCCATAGATTCTTCTAGGCGATTACAAAGTTTTTTTTTTCGTTTGTTAAGCAAAAAAAATTTGGAGGAGGGGGGCGGCGATTCAAATTTTTTTTGTTTCTCAAAACACAACCTTACAAAAGTTGTTGTTGTTTTTGTTTGTGTTGTAGTTGCACAGAATGCATTAACAATTTGAAAATAACAACTAAATTAAAATTTAAGACATGGCCGCCTCTTCATTGTTGCTGCTGCTATTCTGATGCTGTTGTTGTTGCTGCTGCTGTTGCTGTTGTTCAACATTGACAACATTTTCCACCGCTGCTGTCTGTGTTGTTGCTGTTGTGGGTGTGGCCGTACCACTGCCTGTATTTGCTGCATTTATGGCAGCAATTTGCTGCTGTTGTTGTTGCTGCTGCTGCTGATTGCCCACCAATGCATTTGTATTGGCCACCACGGCTATAGCATTGGCCGCTGCCACTGTTGCTGCCGGTGGTGTGGGCGTTGGTGCTGCCGCAATCATATTGTTCGGTGTTGCCGTACCGGTTATTTGCATCTGCAACTGTTGTAGCGTCTCTTGCGACATATTAGCCTTCAGGATGGTATTCTCCACTTCCAATTGATTGATTTTATCCATCAGCTCGGAGATCTTTTCTTTGAGTACTTCGACCTCTTCGCGAACGGCTATCATCAAATGGGATTTGACGAGATCCTGGAAAGGAGAAGAAGAAAATGAGATTTTTGATTAGAAATTTGTTCTTGAAAAAAAAAAAATAAAAAATATCAAAATTTTAAAATATCAACATTTTAAAAGTATTATTTTTTTTTTTTTTTGAAAAATATCAGATTTTTTCAAAATATTTATTTTTTATACCTATTTCAAAAAAAAATTTTTTTTAGAAAATATTATAAAAAAATATATCAAAATTTTATAAAATATTTAAATTTAATTTTTGAAATATATGAGATTTTTTCGAAAAATTTTTGAAAATTTAATATCTACAATATTAAATTAAATTTTTTTAAATATTTATTTTTTATCCCCGCTTCCAAAAAACAAAACAAAAAGAAAATAAATAAAAAAATGAAATTGAAAGGCCCCAGAAATTTTAGAATTTTCTAGTATTTTTTATTTTATTTAAGATATCAAATACGGTTTGATTTAAAACTGGTTTCCACATTTTTTTTTTTTTTGAAAATTAAAAACAACAACAAATCTGATAAAAATCTCCCTTGACCTTACTACGTGACACAAACCGAACCAGGCAGACTTCATCACATTGCCCTTTCAAATCTTTTTAATTTTTTTTGTGGGCCCTCTCAGCATGTGGTCGACAAATTAGTAGGCATCATATTGATGATCTTATTTGGTTATCAATTTTTTTTTTCAAATTTTTCTAGATCAATCTTATGGAAAATAAAAAAAAAGAGAGAGACACTTGACAAATATCGGCCCATATTGAAAACATATTGAGACAAGTGGCACTTGAGATTTGAAATCACCACAGGCGACAATTATTTTTGTTTGGCTATTTTTAGGGAGCAAAAAAGGACTTTGGTCAAGAGTGGTGTGAGTCAACACTTTGTGAAAAAAAACATATTTTTGATTATTGATAAAATTTTCAAATTCAAAATTTTTCATATTAAAGTTCAATCAACTTTTTCTTAAAATGCAAATGATCTTGGTCTGCCAAACCATAATAAGGCTACTCACATTTTGTTTGGCAAGATTTCTTTTTTTCTAAAAACATTTCAAAATTTTTCTCAATTTTTCCCTAGGCACGTGCATAATAAAAAAAATATAATTATGAAAAAAATTGTTGTTATTTATATTTTGCAATGTTTGTTTTTCTTGAGCGGACAACTCGAAGAAAGATATCAATTTTTTTCTTTAAATGATCTGCATTAAAAGAAAAAAATGAGGGTCTTTGTTTGCTTTCCGATTAAAGAGGCGGCAGGCAATCAAAAAAAAGGCAAATGACCCTGATAATTGTATAGAACTTGAAATGAGTGAAATTGTTTTTCCATATCTCCCAAGTGAGTTGTTTTTGATTCGATAAATTTCCATAAAAAAACAATAACTGGGAGAATAAAAATTGCGGGAATTTTTTTTTATTCGGAGGAAGGGGAGAGAGATTATTTAATTAATTTTCATTTTCAATAATGAGTTGTTTTATAATTATTAAAAACAAATAATATTTAATGAATACAGATAAAATTGTATTCGTTAAAATTGTTTAATTTAATTTCAATATTATTTTATTTTTTTTCTGTTGTAATTGATATATTTGACATTTGGATTTTTTAATTTTTTTTTTATTTAAATAGTTTGGCTTGAGGTCAGAGGAAAATAAAAACAATTTTTTTTTCATAGTAGGTTTGGTTTTCCAGAGAGTTGAACTAATTTTCCACAAATTGTTTTACTTTTCTGTGAGTTCAGTTTCAACTGAACTATTTTTTTATTATTTGATATAAATGATAAAAAAAAAAATATTTTATTATGTTCTCAAAATAAAATCAAATTTAAAAAATAAAATAAAATAAAATAAAATAAAATAGATGCCTAAAAATATTGATTTTTTTATTTCTTTTATTTAAATGTTATTTTTTATTTTTTTCTAAATATCCCATAAATTTTAACCATTTTTCCTATTCCTCAAAATAATCTGATAAATTATATTACCATTTTATTTACATATATTTTGTTTCTAAATATTTTCCCCCATTTAAAATTTCACAATTTTTCGAAGATCCCCCAAATAATCTCATAAATTATGTTATCCACATTTTATTTATAATTGTTTTTTAATTATTGTATTTTTTATAAAATAATTTATTTTTAGATTTTTGACGACATACACCATTTTTTTTAATTAATCATTTGCTATTTTTGAAGAAAATTCCGAATCTATTTTTTTTTGCTATTTGTGAAAAAAATATTCTAATTGCAATACTGATAACATAAGGTAGACAAATAAAAGATATCAAGAAGAGATTGTCATATTATCACCTCATTTTTATCTATTTATTTTTTTCAAGATAAGATAATAAATAGCATTGTCTTACTACGGGTAAAATATTGAAATTTTAAAGTTAGTTAAATAAAAAATAAAAATTGTGGATTACTATTTTTTTCTTGTGGGATAGAATTTTAAAGATCGGAGAGAAGAAATATAATTGCAGAGGTCAGTTACTGAACACCAACTTGAAATATTCAAAAAAATTTAAATACAAAAAAGTGCAGATAAGTATTCTTAAAATACTCAATTGCTTGGCATTGTTAACTATTTTCCATTTAAATCCCTTGATTTTTTATTATAAAATAATAAACAAAATGTTTGGCAACATGCTGATGAAGACCAGCAACATATTTTACTATTACTATTATATCGAGTTTTTTAAATGATCATCATTTTTTCATAAAATCGAGAGAAATATTTTTAAAATCCTATGATTACTTGTCATTGTAAATTATTTATATTTAAATTACATGTTTTTAATAATAAAATTATAAACAAAATGTTTGGCAACAAGTTGATGAACACCAGCAACATATTTTACTATTTTAATTAATATTTTAGCTATTACCAAAGATCATCATTAACTTTTTTCATAAATTCGAGAGGAATATTTTTAAAATCCTATTATTGCTTGTCATTGTAAATTATTTTCCATTTAAATCCCTTGATTTTTTTATTATAAAATAATAAACAAAATGTTTAGCAACATGTTGATGAAGACAAGCAACATATTTTATTATTTTCAATATTTCCAAAGTTGAAAATTTTTTTTGTGAAATTCAAAAGAGTATTTTTATAACCCATAAAAGTTGGTCATAGACAAATAATTATAATTGATAACGAATGATTTTTATTTTTAAAGAAGCGTTTGGCAACATGTTGACAATGAAGTGCATCATTTTTTTATTATTGTTATTAAAATTTTCGTAGATCAAATATTTCATTCCAAATTCGATACGAATATTTTTAAAAGTTTGTCATTGCGCAAATATTTCTAATTGGTAACCATTGATTTTAATTTATAAATTAAAAAAAAAGTGTTTAGCAACATGTTGACAGTGAAGTGCAACATATTTTATTATTAAAATGTTGCTAATTTTCATAGATTTTTAAAATCCCTAAAATTTGGTCATTGCACAAATATTTCTAATTGATATCCTAACTACAAAATAAAAAAACATGTTGATAAGAACCTGCAACATATATTTTATTATTATTAAAATTTTCATAGTTTCCAAAGTTCGATATTTTTAATAATTCGGGATAAATAGATATAATTTATAAATAATTTATAAATAGATATAATTTATAAATAGATATAATTTATAATTTAAAATTTTAATGAGGAAAAAAGGAATCAAAATGTTTGGCAACATGTTGATAATAATTGAGTAATGATAACTTATTTCTAAAGATCGAATATTTTTTTTTTTTTTAATTCTAGAAAATATATTTTCATAGTTCCTAAAAACTTGCCATTTAATAATATTCCCAATCGTTGTCCTTGCATTTGATAAAAATAATTATAAAAAAATGTTTAGCAACATGTTGCAATAGAATTTTTATTTAAGCAACATGTTTAATACAATAAACATAACCTCAAAATCGATTTTTATATTAGAAAATCAATCTCGATTGCTTCTTCTATAACTTCCTACATAGAAAAATCCCACTATTTTCCCATTGTTACGCATTTTTTCCTAGAAAATTCTCTCCATTGCTTCTTCTAGTTCTCCATAACCCCACACAGGGTAGGTTATCGGTGGTATTCTTTTCTTAAACATGATTTCATTGTTGTGTGACCCATTCTCAACAAAAATAAAAGAAATACTATAACCATAAAATAAATGACCTAACATGACTCAACAACTATAAACGTAGGTCGTCTATCGGAATGGGGCAACAAACAAAGCCCCCCGTTCCGAACTCACAAATCTAACAAACGGTGTTATGTGGTGTTATTTTCTTTTTTTATTTTCGCGCTTGGCAACAAACAAAGTTATTAAGGTTATAGGTTTTTTTGTCTAAAATTATAATGACGATGATGATGGATTTGGAATTTTTGGTATTGATTTGTAAATATTGTGTCTTCAAAAAACCCCCCGAATCACTTTCAGTGCTGCTATATGAAATTGGCTAAATTTTGCCAAAGGCAATATTACTATTTTCTGTTTTTTTCAAAATCCAATATTGATGATGTTGGCCGAACAACAAAAATTCCTCAAAACCCTACTACCCTACACCATGTGAACATATTTTTTTTTTATTTTATACGTTGAAATATAATGCCATATGTTGTGATGATTCATTCAAAACCCCGTGAAACTCGGTTAAATGAAATTGTAATACTGGGGGAATTTGAGAGAGAGAGGGGAGGAGTAGATATGGGTTGAGTATGAGAGAGGAGGCATTGCGTGATATTTTCTGCCATCAAAAAACACGGCTTGGCAATTATTAAAGGTTTTTTTTGTATTTCATTTATATAATATTTATTGTGTTAGCGGGAAATGGCTGGAAAATGAAAAGAAAACTGTGTGAAAATCGTTTGAATTGCAGGCAAGCTGAATTTCATGAAAACACGAACCATATATCAAAGCAAGTGGGCTTTAATTATTAAATAATTCTTGGTAATGCATTTGAAATGCCAAAGCTAAAAAGAAAAAACACAATTCAAAATAAAATATGAATGGGC